GAACTACTCTGACCACGACAAGAAGCTCCTGGCAATGAAATATGCCCTTGTGAGGTTTCGTGTTCACCTTCTGGGCTCGAGGCCCTTCGTGATCTACACAGACCTCGCATCCTTGAAGACGGCGACTAACTCGCCTCACCACTCCTAAAGGAAGGCGAGGTGGCTGTCCTTCTGTACTCCGCGTCGGATACAAGCCGGGCAAGCTCAACGTGCTTGCGGATGCCCTCTCTCGGCGTCCCGACTATGAGTTTGCCTACATCACGCGGGTGACAACGGATCTATATGATCGGATACGCATGGCGTATCGGGACGATGAGGCTGTCGCGCCTATCGTCAAGTTCCTTAAGGCCGGAACGAGCCCGAAGTCCGACTGGCTCTCGTCGCGACAGCGCTCACGGCCCCACCGATATGAGCTGAAGGATGGCCTCTTCTATTACCGAGTGGAGTTCAATGAGCCTCCACGGGTGGTCGTACCCAACGACGAGGGTCTGAAGCTTGATATCCTCGCGGAGGCGCACGACGCGCCCTCCAGCGGCCACTTGGGCCGCGAGAAGACCTTTCTGTCGGTCTCTCAGGCCTTCTGGTGGACCCACATGTACAAGTGGGTCGCCCGATACGTTAAGCCATGTGAAACATGTCAGCGAGTCAAACCCGCAGGGCACTCTTCGGCTCTACTATAGAGCCTGCCCGTACCAACTGACTGTTGGAAGTCGATGAGTCTTGACTTCATCTTTAGGCTTCCCGCCGACGGTCACGGCAACACCGGAATTTTGGTGTTCGTGTGTCGGCTGAGCAAGATGGTACAACTTGCTGCAGTTCCCGTCACTGTTACGGGCGAACAAACCGCAAGGTTGTTCGTCGATGGCGTTTTCCGCTATCACGGTCTCCCGGAGACGATTGTCTCGGACCGAGACCCGCGGTTAACGGCTGCGTTTTGGAAACCGCTGCTCCCTTTACTGGGAACTCGTCTGCAGATGTCCACTGCGGACAATCCGCAGACAGACGGCCAGACAGAGCGCGTCAATCGAGTGCTCGAGGACACTCTGCGTAGTGTGTGCGCGGCAGCGCCACGTACGTGGTCGACGCAGCTTCCAGCTGTTGAGTTTGCGCTCAGCAACGCGGTGCACGCGTCCACGGGGCTCACGCCGTTCTACTTGAACGGCTTCCGTCACCCCAGAGCGCCTCTCACTCTTCGAGGAGACACTGACTCCTCTATTCTAAGTGGGGGAGAGGCTCGGAAAGCCTTTTCCTCCCAGGTTTCGGATGTGAGACCAGTTTCACTGCGGAAACAAGTGAAATCCTTTATGGATACCAAGCTGAGCGTTGTCAGCAGGGCCCGCGATGCCATGGCAGCGGCCCAAGATAAACAAAAGGAGTACTCCAACAAACATGGAAGAGGAAACTTAAGTGTATTTAAAGTGAAGACTTAGTGTTGCTAGACACGAGGAACCTACCTCTTGACACTGCCAGCTTTGTCGGCAGCAACAAGCTGAAGCACCGCTTCATCGGACCATTTGCAGTCCTGGCCAGACATGGTGCGTCGTACACCATCGACCTGCCAAAGTCAATGACGACGCACCCGACGTTCTATGCTGGACGTCTTAAGCGGTACTTTGATCCACAGAGGGTTGCTGACTCGCAGACCCACCTTGGCCCAGCTCCTCAAAGCGAGGGCGGGCCACAGACGTCGACGAAGGCGTCGGGGCAGGCACCCAAGCCTCGGTCGGAACGGCAAGGCTGCGGTCAAGACCGTACGCCGGAGGGGCTCCGTACGAACGGACCCCGGAGCCAAACGCCGAGTACGCTGAGTACGCCGGGTACGCACCATACGCGTACGTCTGGGAGTGTGCCGCAGGCGGCTCCGGACATGGCAACAGAGCCTCGATCCGTCGGATCATGCGAAAGGCCTCGTCAAGATCGGACGAAGAGGCCCGACTATCCACCCGCAGATGCAGGCTCGCGACCTCTCGCTCCAACAGGTCCAGGCGGCTTGCAAGACGAGCGAGCTCGCCCTGATTCCCGGCCTGGGCGACAGCATCACTGCCAGTCCCAAGGCCAAGTGCAATCTCAAGCACGAGGACACCTTGACGGAGGCGGTCAACCTCAGGGCCCTGTGTCGGACCCGCAGCCGGAGCACTCGGACGAGAGTGGTGTTCGGGAGGCGCCGAGTACTCGTACTCGTACGAGGGCATCTCCGCCGTTGCTTGATCGAAATGGAGAAGCCCACTTCCACGTGGAGCGGATCCTCCAGGAGCAACGGCGTCGCGGTAAGCGACAGCTCCTCGTGATGTAGAGGGGTTATGCCCACTCCGAGAACTCGTGGGAGCCGATTGAACGGCTCCTGATTGACTGCCCGAAGGCTGTCGCAATCTGGGAACAGAAGCGGCGGCAGCTTCATAAGTAGTCCGGGGCTTCTTGCCCGAACGAGGTACGGACGTTGAATACACTCCGTACCCGCGCGCATCGTGAGCGCTGGAAGCCGCACGCTTCAGGATGTCCCTTGGCAGCATGCGCTTGCTGACCAAGTGGGCAAACCGAACACGAAGATCACGCTGGTCCAGGATGCGAGACAGCAGCTGATCTTCATGGAGTTCCCGTAACTCCGTGGGTGGGTACTTAAGAGACTCCACCCATGCCCAGAACATGTCCTCACAGGAACTCCAAGTGGGACGGTTGTCGGGCATAACCCAGGGGTATCCCCAAAGAGGATAGAGACCCCCCGGGTCTCGGGCTTCTTATGACAAGTCGTGAAGTCCTTAAGGGGAATGCGGTGTGGCGCGAGAAGCACACACCGAGCAGCCTCCAAGTTGTCAACGAACAACCGTTTCTTCTGAACAGGGGCACGTTCGTAAATGCCCCTAGAAGTGTGTCCGCCCAAGAGACCACGAGGAGCGACGAGAAGCTCTAGGAAGAGGTCAGCCTCAGAGCTCTCCTCGGGAGGCCAATACCCTCTTGAGTTGATGGCAGCTCCCTGGCTGACGGGTGCCACCACCGAGCCCCCACGCACATGCTGGGCAGCTTGGAAACCCTCCTGCTGCTTATCGAGGTCATTCGTGACCTCCCGGGGCTCAGCGATAGCACCCTCCTCTTCCTCCTTCTCCTCCGCTTCATCCGAGGAGTCGAAGATGCCCCGATGGGAGTGCCGAGTCTCCTTCTCCTCGCGGAGTGGAGACTTAAAGGCTGTACGCTTCTTTGAGGGCTTGGCGCCTACGGCTTTTAGAGGCCTTAGCACGCGCAAGGCCCTCGGCAAGCGAGAGGCGTTTGCGAGGATTATCTTTCTCATCGCCACCAGCTTTGGGAGTGCCCTTAGCCTTGACGGCCGGACTCTCAGAGCGCACAGACGTCCTGGGACTGTGATCACCTTGATCACTTGTGAGCGATTGCACGCTGTCGTTCTTGTGCTCACTGGGCACTGGGCTGTGCCCTTCCGCAGAGCCCGCAGGAGCATCGTGTGTGCTCTCGGACTCGGCTTCGTCCTGGCTGCCGGAGTCGAGCTCGCGTTCTACGAACCGAGGGTTCGGACAATTGTCTGGAGAGGCCGAGGTCGACGGGCTGCGGTGCTTGCTGGTTCGCTTGCCCACAACCTTGTCGCCCGATGAGCCGATCGCCTCGGAGGCCACCTGAGTAGCCTCCTTAAGTGCCGAGCCTTTGCCGTGAGGCTTAGTGCTCTTGGCTTGCGCCTTTCCGGCAGCAGCCTTGGAGCGTGTATTCGCACCGCTCTTAGCAGTGCCACGAGGCATGGTTAACGGTCGAAGTGGGGACCTAGAAGAAGAGCGCACAGACTGCTGCTCGAGGCTCTAACTGTGAAGTGAGCCTCCGCCGCGCTCGTGCGGCCAAGTCGATGGTTTTCGACTTTGAGAATGAAAGTTTGTGACGAACACCTCTTCATTCTGATTGGTCGGTAAACCATTTAAGTGGGGGGGATGTCACGGGGTACGTAGCCCTAAGTGTACCCTGGCTACATGAAGTGTGACACGTCATACTTCGGGATATTTGGTACAAAGTACCAAGGTCGTTCAAAGCCAACCATTGGTTGACGACATTGCATTTCTATAGGTGACTTATAGTTTGTATTAAACCCAAGCTTTATCTACCTATAAATATACTCAGTTTACATTCTACCTTAATTAGGTCACTTCGCTCTCTTTTGAATAAAGAGGGGACCTGTGAATTGCCGTTCACTGAGAGTTTGTATACTCTCGGAAGCTAACTTCCTCTAGCGCAAGGTGCTGTGTGACCCCGTCACAAGGAGAAAGTTGGGCTGGGGCGGGACGGGGCATAAGCGCTTAATAGTGAGGTGTATGAGCTTCAGGGCAAGTTTAGACGTGAATGCCGAAGTGAAAAGGATTAAGTTGGCGCAAACGGCGACGTCAAGTGGGTGGCTGGGGGAATGGTCTGAAATTTGCTTGCTGACAGCCGGTCGGCAAAATAATACTGAAGTATATTAATCGGCAGATATTTTAAACTAAAAAATGATCACATAAAAATATCAGTTTTTAGTTTTTTTCGGAGTACCCTTCGAAAGAACTTTTGAAAGCATGAAAGTGCCTGAATATTTTGGTGCTTGGACTCAGTTCAGCTCAACGTGTGCACATGAAGGTGAAGGAAAAATCGGCATCCATTAACTGCGTTGTTGTGACCGTACTTCTCCCGCTGGCACCCCAAACAGATCCGTGATTGGAAGGTTCGCGTTGCTTAACACGTGACATCAGCTCGTTGCACAGACTACTCCAGCATTTATCCATCGCCCGCCAGCAATTACACGCTACTTGGAGTCGAATCGTCGTACAGGGCGATGCTTGCGACCTGCCAAAACTTCAGAAATGAAATGAGACAGACCCAGGTTTCCGTCACCATCGGCAGTGATCGCATAGTTGAAGCAATAGCCGTTGCATGTATTAGAGCAATAATTTAAAGGGCGGTCGAAGAAGACCTCAGTCTGCAATCGACTTGCGTGTGCGTCCGCCTCCTCCCGCACACGTGAATCCACACTCACAGCCATGGTTGACGCCTCCGTGCTCCTGGTGCTTCGCATCATGACGGCATTATCGTCGTTCATGGTCTCACTGAGTCCATCCTTCTCCATTTACAAGATCTACCAGAGCAAAACCGTCGGGAACATCTCCATAGTCCCATTCGTCTCGCTGCTCGGCAACGCGCACATGTGGATGATGTATGGCTATTTCTGCGGAAATATATTCCCCGTAGTCGTCTCGTTCGGCTTTGGCGACCTCGCGGCACTCGTCTACATCTCTGTGTACTACACCTTCGCTGAAGACCGCAAGTACGTGCTCCGGCGGTACTGTTTCAGTGCTCGCAACAATTACATTGTACGCCGTCATTGCAGCAGCTGGAGCTACAGGCCAGGACTACACCGGTATCAGCCACATTCTAGGCTATTTGAGCATCGTCGCCGCCATCATTCTGTACGGTGCGCCATTCGAGAAGACTTCGTTTGTACTACGCAACAAGAACGCATCTCCCATTCAGCTACCGATGGTTATCTGCGGTGCTACAAACAATGCGCTATGGGTCATCTACACGCCACTAGATAGAAACTGGTTTATGTTCATTCCGAACGCCATCTGCGTCGTGCTCGGTATCGTGTTGCTGACGTTGTATGTAATGTATCGCCCAAACAGACCGCCATTGATCTTTCAGATGACGACATTGCCATCAGAATTGTCGTATCGACCAAGACTGAAGAAATTCAGAACAAGATCCCGAACGCGAGCCCTAGCGTACAGCCGATGGCATCACCGCTGCTTCCATTGAGCCGAGAAAACTCATTTCAACTCAGTTCGCCGTCAATGAGTCGTGGTAGTTCCTTTCAGCAAATGAGTTCGCCCGCGCTGAGTTCTCAAAGCGGCTCTTTCCGAAGTAGCTCTTCCGACTGCGGCTTCACAGCCGGAGCTCTGCACATTAATCGCGCCCCGCGACAAAAGTAAAAATAGGACGACAGTAACTCACTAGGTAGAGGAATGTTGTTAAACCACAAAACTTCACTGGTTCATTTTTACAGTCATGTCATGAAGCAGATTTCCCGACGTACTTGTATCGGATATACCGTCGTTGTAATTCGCTGCTATCGAATACTTCGGGAACAATCAATCGAAACACCCTCGAGCCAAATTTCCATAGCACTGGCGGAGACGGCAAGCTTGGACGTTGGACGTGGGTCCTGTCCTTGCATTCTCACACTAATGAAATACTTCGAAGACCCACCCGTCCTTGCATTCCCACAGTTAACGAATCCTGCGTCGTGAGACCAGGAAAACGTGTTGCGAAACGGCTTATGTCGGGCTGCATCCAATCTCGTCCCTTGATGTCTCCTCGCTCTGTGCGCTTCTTGTGGTTGTCAAGTGTATGCGCAAAGTTTCCGGTGCGTCCAGAGGTCTCGTACGACACGACGTACCCATCTCGTCCTTCCCTTCTCTCCATCTGCTCGGTGGAGGGCAAAATGCCTTCCTGCACTTCGCATTTTACAGTTTACCCGACTCGTGAGAGCTCCAGTCGCCCATGTCAGGAGTGGAGTCCGTTTTCCGCGTGGTCGCGGCCTGTACGTCCCTCATGATGATCCTGAGCCCGACGCCGGCGGTCTACAAGATCTACAAGACCAAGTCAATCGGCAACTCCAACATCGTCTCGCTCGTGTCCGTATTTGCGAACTGCCACGTCTGGACGCTGCAAGGTTTGCTCACCCGTAACTGGTTCCCAGTCTTCTCCACCTTCGTATCGGGGGACTTCATCTCTATCATTTACATGTTCGTGTTCCTGCGCTACACACCGGCCGCAAGCAGGCCTGGAAAATCATCGCCGTCCACGCGGCTGTACTGTCGATTATCACCACGTACGCAGTGCTAGGAGGTCGGGGCGTATTCACAAGCTTGAGTAGGGACCAGGCGAACGCTACCTAGCTGTGTGCGTGACTCTGGTGCTCTACAGCTCACCGTTCCTCAAGATTAAGGACGTTGTCAAGTACAAGACGGGCGTGTTCATCCCGATCCACATGGTGATGGCCGGCACGTTTAACAATGCGATGTGGATCACGTACACGCCCATGTCTGGCCTATGGTTCCTCTTCGTGACCAACGTCTGCTGTGCCATCCTCGGCGTCGCACAGCTAATCGGGTACATGATCTACCACCCGAGCAAGCATCCGCTCGGCTATGGAGCCACACTGGAGGACTTGCTTGAGAAGGAGAAAGAGGACGACGGCATCCTGTCCATCGCGATCGACCGGACCAGCATGCAGTCGTCCACCAAGGCTATCCCGCAGAGCCCCATGTATCAAATGATCAAGTCGCCGCTTGCTCCTCTTCGCTCGTAAATATACAGAAGCCTGTAAGTTAACTTTCAACATGCCAATTTAGACATAAATCGTCGCCCAAATTGACAGTTTGCCGCTTGCTGTTGACTCAACAGCTACATGTAGCGGCAGAGTTGAGCTGCGCCTGCTCCATGTCGACTTGTCGCCGCCGTCGCGACTCGCGTTGGTCATCTAATCATCAGGGATTACACTGCTGCTGCTGTGCGGTCCAATCACGTTGCGAAGATTCTCTTAAGCTCAGCATCCAAGTACACGGTTGTCCGAATACGTCGCTTCGCATCCTCTTACGACAGCCGCATCAGTCTGCATCTTGCGTTGTTCGACACACCCTTTTAGCTCGATAAACATGGTTGTGAAGACGCTCTTTCGCGTGCTAGCGTCGCTTACCTCCATTAGCGTCACGCTCAGTATGATACCGTCAATGTACCAAATCTACCGCAAGAAGGATACAGGCATCGCGTCCGTGCTGCCGCTCATCTGTATGGTGGCCAATGCACACGTGTGGATGCTCGACGGCGCTATCGTCAAGAATTGGTTCCCAATGTTCGCCACCTTTCTCACATCCGACTACATCGCCATCGGCTACGTGGCCATCTTCTTCTGCTACGCGCGCGACCGCAAGAAAGCTCTTCGCAGGATCATCATTGGGGCTACTATCCTGGGTCTTATCACGATATACGCGATCCTAGGCAAAGCTGGGTATACGAACCAGTCGAACGACGGAGTGGACACGACGCTGGGTATCTTGGGCGTAATGGCCGGTCTCAGTATGTTCAGCTCGCCATTCGAGCGGATAATGAAGGTGCTGCACTACAAGTCGGCTGCGTTCATCCCGATCCCCATGGTGGCTGCAGGTGCACTTAATAATGTCATGTGGATCGTGTACTGCCCAATGATCGGAAGCTGGTTCTTGTTTGGAGGCAACGCGTTGTGTCTGCTGCTCAGCATTGTCAATATCGCTCTCTACCTCGTCTACAACCCCAAGACGCATCCACTGCGGCTCGAAGAAGGTGATCCTGATGCAATTGAAGGAAATTTCACAAAAATCGAGCCAGCGTCACTGTCTATGGCCCTCTCGCCGCTACCATCCGACGACGATGTTGGTCTCAAGAGCAAACAAAACTTGCACAGCCCAGCGTATAGTTTGGCGCGCTCGCCGGTTGCAGGTATTACGTCAGATGTAAGCAGTCGTGTCTAACTTCGATCGATTAAAATTGTAATGATTTCACTCTCGACATGCATGAAAAAGTGTAAACGCCAATATGCAAATTAAAGAAGAGGATTCAAGCACATCACAAGTACAAGACACTACACTTACGGTTTCGATGGACATTGTTGCCTGTTACAGTTAGCTCACACCATCGAAAGGTTTGCAAAACGTGAGCGTATGTACAACTTTGCTCAGTTCAATTTCCCAGCATGACCCGTCTTGGTACGCCAGTTCATCACGAGGAGTCGCTGTTCACGTGGTGTCCGTGGCCATGAACATGTCCCTGGAAGGGCAGATTCATTGAGTACGCGGACAAGAAGCTTGGCTTCTGACTAGAAGCAAAAGCAGCAGCATTGGCCTCGGTTGTCGTTTTCATGTCGACTTCCGTAGCTGCGTCCCACTCCAGGAACCTTTGGACGACCTCTGGTATTTCGTGCTGGTGGGGCAACCCGTCCACGCCCATTTCCTCGTATAGCAGCCTCGAGTCCACTCTATCCCTACCATGGCGCAACATGCAGCGCGACAGCCCTTCGGCGAAGATCTCGCCCGTCTCGGGACACTTAAACTGCGCCAAAAGGAAGAGCCAGTCGTCATCCCAATACACGTTGCGTGTATGCACCTCGTAGCGCTGAAAGAGCTTGATGTCCTTAAAGTGGCGGATCCCTTGCGATCCAAACACGAAGTACCAGCGGTTGCGAGCGCATGCATGCAAAATTCCTTGAGCACCACAGCCGTACCAGATGGCCAGCTCCATGCTGCGATAATAGGCGTTCTCCGGCAGCTTGCCAGTGAAGTTGCAGTCCTTCAATGACGCTCGTGTCTTCCATACGCCGGGGTAGCGCAACAGCGCTCCGGGTACTTGCGGCGTCAGCTTGCGGCGCAGCACTCCCGCCCCCATATGCCACAGGATGCGAGGGATCATTCGCACAGGCCGTGATTGAATGAGCTCTGAACGTCGCAAAACGTTTTGTGAGACCGTCGACGTGCAGTGCGGAATTCGAAGCATCATTTTATCTTTGTTTTCGTAAGGGTCATTTTGACTTGATTTTTGTAAAGAAAACTAATCAGATGCAAGGTTGAAGTGAGGACCATCACTCTGTGTCCGCACGCAGATATGTTTTCTTCACTTCCGCATTCTCCGCGCGCCACGCAAGTCCAAGAGAAGAGCAAAGGAGGAGAGAGAGGGATGCTGGACACGAAAAACGCCACAGAGGACACGCCCACGTCGCAAGATGCCAAGACGCTCGTCCCGATGTCGCTGAGTCTGTAGGTTACAAGGGGCAGTGACTTACAATTGTGGCCGACGTGACTTGACGTTTGTATGCAGAGTGGCAAAAAAGGAGAAGATCTTACAAATGGAGGTGGCCAAGCTGGGGAAGTTACTGGCTCAACGCAACGAGATGCTCGACGGCTTACAAGAGAGCCACGAGTACCTGCTCACGACGAACGGACAGCTTCAGTGAGTGGCTTAAAGCCTTTTAATGCTACATGTTGAAGTACGCTGGTTCAGAGCCTCTGATACACGTTGGTGCGTGAAGGGAGAGAAGTCGTCTGCGGCGAGAGAGGCTGGTGTCGCTGCGGACACTGCTGGAGGCCGGTCAAGAACAGCACGGAAAGGACAAGACGGGGGTTTGCGACGTTATCGGAGTGAACGAACTGGACGCTACTGCTGAGAAGTGTGGTGTGCTCAAGGGTATTATACTTGGGTTGGTGGATAAACGCGCTGGACTGGAGCAACAATGCATGGGGCTGGAGGAACAGACAGCGCGAGAGGCGGTGGCTCTGAGAGCGAAGGAGGAACGACTGAGTGAAGGTACTAAAATGCAGGAGAAAGATCAGCATGTCGCCGTTGTCGTAACTAATGTGCTGCTTTTCTATAGTCCGAAACTCGCTTCTTCTTCTGCACGAAGACATTCATTCAACCCAGTGGAACTTCGCTGTAAATGACGTCTATGCCGTTTTCTAACGTGTGCTGTTTTTCAAATCAATCTGACAGATTGTCGATTTGATTCCAGAATGACGAAGCCGAGCTCTCTGCAGAGGACAAACACCTCAATGCTGTCAGTCAGAACGCTCAGAGTGAAGCAGCAGCTGTGGAAAAAGTTGACACAGCGCTGCGAGCTGAAAAGGCTGCAGTTGAAGACCTTCGAGCAGTAAGCTTGTTTTATTCATTTGCTGCTCTATAAAGGTTTCATTAACCTTGGAGTTGACAGACCTGGCTGAACTACGAAGACATGGTCCACGAAGAGCATCGTCAAATTACAATTGAAAACGAAGACGCTAGAAGGTGAGATGAAGTTGTCATGATGATAATCTCTGACACACATATGCAGTGAACAGCGAAAATGTCAGAAGCTGCTTGAAAGCAACGGGGTACGAGAAATCGAGGTCGCTCGCTTTTCAAAAGCAGCTATTGATAAAGGGAATGTGTGTAGCCAACCTGCTCAGCTGATGAGGAAGTTCTGCAAACAGCACGAGATCTACAATTACGACTGCAACATCTAAACGTATGCACTCAATCGCTGCATTATCTTTATAGTGATTTAATATATGTAATTGCGCTACAGGAGGAACTGACAAGTACCAAGTTCTTCAAGCGAGAGCTAGCTCTACGAAAGAAACAAGAGAAGGACATGCTGGCAATCGCGCAGTCCAGCATTAAGGTACCGTTATCATAATATTGAGTCGAAGCTCCACTTTACTTACCTCTGAACCCACCGAATAGGCAAAAGAAGAACAGTTGACTTGGTTGGATCGTCAGCGCTTGCATCTTGAAAACGAGCAAAACGAAGCCGTAAAGGTCCACGCTGCAGATGAAGCTGGTATGACCTCAAATTTTTAGCTCGTGCTTCTGTCGTGCTTGCTAACGACATATTGTATTTCAGCTTACCGTACATTTGTCAAGGAGCACAAGTCGGCAATGGCTTCTCTGGAAGCACAGATCAAGGGTATTGAAAAGGAACTGAAAAGTACAGAACGTGCTATTACCGCCCGAAACAAGAAGGTGGCCACTATCAACAAGAAAACTGTACAGAAGTCAAAGGTTCTTCAAGAATGGAAAGTAAAGATCGACGCAAAGCAGGATCAAGTCACAAAGTCTGCAGCCACTCAAGGGCTTGTCGATGCTGAACTTCTGAACATGCAAGAATCATTGAAACAAGAACAACTTCGTGTGGCGCAGATTCAGGGACTTCTCAAAGCTCAAGAAATGGAGTCAGAGGAGTTGCATTCATCTTGCGCGGTGGTCGAGTCCGAAATTCAAAACACGCATACGTCGCTAGCTACGATGAGGGCCAACATCACGGCGACTCAAACAGCCGTGAAAAACCGCATCGACGAAGTTCGCGATAAGTTCTTGAGTGCATTCGTCATAGAAGACGCTGAAAACCTGATCCAGTTGCTGAACAAAGAGGTAGGCGGAACGAAAGTAAGGCTAACGGCATCCGGGTCATTTCACTGTGGGTTTGTCGCTTGTATCAGATCGAAAGCTGGACAACGAAGGATTCAGTCGAAGTTGATGAAGCCATTGCTCGCCACACGATGAAGCTAAAACAGAAATACGATGCCTTGATGGCCGAAAATCGCAAGAAGTTTGGCAAGACTCTGCTGCAAAAGGTTAGTCGACCCATCAATTAACCAACTGGTCAATCAAGCAAACTGGTACATTTTATACGGTTGTAGGAAAAACAATACAACGCAAAACTCGATAAACTGAAGAAAACGACGGCAGCGAAGAAGTCGAAGCCCGCAGCAAGCTCCACTAACAAGGCAAAAATTGTGAAGAAACACAGCATGGATGAACCAGCTCCTCAGATTTTTGTATCTGCGACGAGCCACGAGCATGATTCGGATGAGACCATGGGTAACCCCGCACCTGAAGAAAACGATACCAACAACAGAGATCCCGATCCAACAAGGATGGAGCGCCCAATCAATGGAGGCGATCTCAGTAAGGTATGTCTGGTTAGACGCGATGCTTGGCGATACTTGCACTAAATATTCGGAGCTCACCCATTCTACACTTCAGCAGGCCCCACCTTCCAAAATGCGCTTGTCAGAGCTGCACACGACACAACGAGAAGCGAGTGGAGCGCCAAAACCAACTCCAAAGCCTGTTCGACGTGGCCTCAATCTAGTAGACGAGTCTCCCCAGACAGACAAGGAGCTGGCAGATATTTTCACTGCCGACGGAACGAGACTCGATAATGCTTCTGGAGTCCGTCCACGTCGATTGAAGAGACGCACACCAGCTCAGAAGGCTGGTAAACCAGAATCGACACTCTCCACGACTGCACTCATTGCCCACCAATATTCTACAACCGAAAGGCCAAGTCAACACCCTCTCAATTCTCCCGTCGGCTGCGACGAAGACTTCGCCGCAATGTCTCGCGCTTCTCAAGATGAAGACACTACAAAGAAGACACCTTCCACTACACACCAAGCAGCTGATAATAAACCACTGCTGCAAAAGGTAAGACGCTGTTGCTTGTGGATGCGTTTGGACTTGTAAAGCTAATACACTGAAACAGGCAGATCAACGCAGCAAGGGCGTCGCCAAGCGCCGCACATCGAAGAAGACGAAGGCTTTGCATCGAGTCCGTCATTCGAAGGCAAGCCGAATCTCACTTGGCCGCACCATGGACTGGTCTACAGCTGAGACGTTCTCCTTCGACTGAGCTCCACCGGCAAATCATTTCCGTCCACGTTTAACATGCTAATTTTTGCCACACATTAGACGTCGTAGCGTCCTTCGTCATGGAAGCGCCACCCACCAAGCTGCAATGGCGCATAATTGCAGCAAACAATGCAGCAAACATTTGCGACACTAGCGCACTCACCACCACGGTGACCAACAATCACTGTTCGGCTCGAATTCTTCAAGCTCCAAATGGAGTCAACGTGACTGCTTACGCAACGGTCCCTGTCAGCCAAATTGGCTGAGCCAATCATATACTTTTTCGAGTCTCAATCCAGCCAGCTCTTGATAAGTGTAGAACGTGTTGGCGGTCTTGAACGAGGGGTGCAGGAAGCGCGTCAGTAGCGGTTTTGCAGTCTCCGATTCGAAGCTATTGATCAACGATGTTCTCCTCTGTCCTCCGCTCCGCATCCCGCCAGCCTCTGAGCAGCGCCGCTTCCATGACGGCAATGGCGTCTGCCCTTGGCCTCGCTAGCTTCTCGTCTACCGCACGCAACGCTGAGGAACCAAAGGTGGCGCTGAGCCCCAAGGAATTCCGCTCCTTCAAGGTAACAAAGGTGGAGGAAGTGACCCACGACACCAAGCGTCTTGTCTTCGCCCTTCCTAGCAAGGAGCACGAGATGGGTATTACTGTTGCTAGCTGTCTGATGGCGAAGGCGAGCGTGGACGGCAAGAACGTCGTCCGTCCATACACGCCCACCAACACGAACGCCGAGAAGGGCGAGCTGGAGCTCGTGGTCAAGGGCTACCCGACCGGCAAGCTGAGCAAGCATATCGTTGACTTGAACGTGGGCGATGAGCTGGCCATGAAGGGTCCATTTGTCAAATTCGAATACAAGCCCAACCAGTACAAGAGCATCGGTTTTCTGTGCGGTGGCTCGGGTATCACCCCCGCTCTGCAGGTGGTCAAGGAGATCTGCCGTAACCCGGATGACTCGACGCAGGTTGTGCTGATCTTCTGCAACCGGACGGAGAAGGACATTATTCTTCGTGACGAGCTGGACGCTCTGCAGTACATGTACCCGCAGTTCCAGGTTAACTACGTTCTGGACAAGCCTGAGGCTAACTGGGAAGGTTACTCGGGTTACGTGACCAAGGAGCTGGTCGAAAAGCTGCTGCCCGGTCCGTCCGACGAGACTCTGATCGGTGTGTGCGGTCCTCCTCCGATGATGGACGCCATCTCGGGCAACAAGGCCCCCGACCGGAGCCAGGGCGAGCTCAAGGGCCTGCTCAAGGAGATGGGATACACCAGCAGCCAGGTCTTTAAGTACTAAGTCGAGTGACCCGATCCTTCGACATGTAGGCAGTAACTGAAGCTGACTACCTCGTTACCGTATTCACTGACTGTCATGAAAAATGGATACCTGTGTAGCAATAAAGATTGCGCATCGGTTTCCACTATTCGCCTTTCGAACTTACTTCAAGCGTTCAAACCCAGTGGATTTTTGACGCACTCCATGTAAATACAGAGCCACAGCCTATAAACGAGTCGATCCTTAGAAACTCTCCTACTACAACCGGAGTCCCCATAGGACTTCTTGACTTGGTGTAGCGAGCACTTACTACACCTCGGAAAGTTGCGTCGTTTCCAAGTGTCCTGTTTGATTCATGTACGTGAGCTGTACGTTACCGACGCTGTCGACCTCCATAGCAGTGATACCGCAGTGGTTGTAGCGCATGCGGCCCCACGTGCCATTGGGGTCCACACCCAGCGCCTTGCACACAAACCAGCGAATGATATTGGCGTGACAGACCACGACACGGAATCTGTCCTTTGCGCGGGTCTGCGTTGACCGTATGCCGAACGTATTAGCGTAATGTTTCTGGTCTTCCTCACTCAGTTGACGCTCCTCGATCTCCAAGTCTTGCGGAATTAAATGACGGAACATGGTACGGTATGCCATTTTGAGCCGAGCGCAGTCCGACACCATGTTGTCCAGCTTCTCTCTCGCCAATTGCTGGCGGTTACCGTTCGGCAAAGGGTTACCCGGCCACGCTTCACGGAAGAGTTTGTTCTCACGGAACTCCACCGAGCCAGAAGGAAACGCGTCTCCGATACGTTCGGCCGTCTCCACTGCACGACGGACGCCACTATGGTACACTGGGAACTTGGGGAATCGCTTCAACACCATTCGCTCGGTCAGGTATTTGTGTAGGAATCGACCCGTTGCACGCGCCTGTTGCACGCCCAAGTCTGTCAACGGTCCGTGCATGTCCGCGGACGGCGTCTGCGAGCTGGCGTAGTGGCCGTGACGCACCAAGATAATGTGCGTCGTGCGGCTCTGGTCCACAAGAGACAAGTCGGACGTGGGCTTCACAATGTGGGCCTCGGCAGCCACAGCAATGGCCGTCATCCAGTCCATCAGCGTCTGCACATTTGGCGCTCCAATAGCGCGGACACTCCCGTTGGTCAACTTTAAGCTGAAAGAAGAGTTGTCCAGACGCTCCACAGTCGCGCCTGCAATGTCCCACGTGCCCTTCAAAGCGCCATAACGTTGCTTGCTGTCGATGGTGTAATACGAGAGCTCCTGCCCACGCAGCACGAAGATGCGCTAAACATGCCACAAATAAAAATCCACAAATAAGGATTAGTGTGTATTTTGTGCCACAATTAAAAGAAGCACAACATACACTCACATTCTTCCACGCCTGCAGCCCGGACTCGCCCTTTTTGGTAAGTTGGCCTTCCATCAGCACGTCGCTGGCGAAGACCTGCAACTTGGCGTCGTGGATTTTGCCCTCAGAGAAGTTGTTGCTCAGGTCGGTGACCACAGACGGACGCATCGTAGAAGACGGACGCATGACGGAAGCCATCAAGGACTGTCGAGGCGCTTGACTGCCGCCCAGCACCTGCGTGGCACCCAGGCCATCGCTGTTGGGCGTGAAGTAGTTGACGGTCGACAGCCGCGAGTTGAGCATGTGCGATGGCCGCATCTCACCCTCGGACTGTGCCGGCGACACCACTTCCATTGTTGGCCCTGCCATTATGACTCGATTGGGTTTTGACGGTGCAAAATGCTGTGTGGCTTCTTGCGGACGCTTTACTGCCGGGTGCCTGGACTCTACGAGTGTCTACGGTACAGCAGTACACCGTCTCCGGCTGTTGCTGCATTTTGCGTGAGCACTGGCTAGATTAGAAGAATCTACTTACTGAATACTTAAGCATTACTTTTCATCATCTGTCTGCACAGGTTGTTGAAGTGACGGTTCAAACGTTTTACATGTAAGTTACAGTGTAGCGGGGTACGTAGCCCTAAGTGTACCCTGATTACATACGATACTTCGGGATATTTGGTACAAGGTACCAAGGTCGTCCAAAGGTTGATGACATTGCATTTCGATAGGTGACTTATAGTTTGTATTAAACCCAAGCTTTATCTACCTATAAATATACTCAGTTTACATTCTACCTTAATTGGGTCACTTCGCTCTCTTTTGAATAAAAAGGGGACCTGTGAACTGCCGTTCACTGAGAGTTTGTATACTCTCGGAAGCTAACTTCCTCTAGCGCAAGGTGCTGTGTGACCCCGTCACACTTGGTAGCACTCGTAGTCAATCCACGCCACCGCGGGTAGACTACCTGGACCTCTCCGCCATGGACAGGAGCGACTTCTCCCATATGAACGACTCTCAGTTCGAGTCGGTTCGGAAGATGGCAGGCATCTTCGAAATGGAGGCCCTGCAGAGCCTGGTGGTGTCAACACCGGCCGAGCAGCTCGAGCGCGTCAATGCGTTTGACGCGTACGAGCAGGGCCTCATCGCGCATGTGCGTGAGAACCTGCAGGCTCCGGCGGCGGAAGCAAATCCGCCTCACCCAAAGCCAATACGGCTGAAGGTTAAACCGTATGAAGGGAAGGAAGGCGAGAACCTTCACTTCTGGGTCCGAGAAGTAGAGCTCGCGATGGACGCGGCTCTGATCTCGACCGAGCGACTTCGTGTTGCTTTTGCACTCTCCAACCTTAGCGGCCGTGCTAAGAGTTGCGTGTACTCACGGGAAGCAACATCCCCTGGATGTTTCACATCCTGGACCCAGCTGTGTGAACAGCTCCGAGCCGCGTTCCTCCCGGCGAACTACGAGTACCACCAGCGTTCGCGCTTCCTCTCGTGCAAACAAGGGAGGCGTGAGCTGCACGAGTACGTGCAAGAGTGGTGCAATTCCTTCATAATAATCGCACTGAAAAGTGTACAGCACGAGCGATGATGAATCGGCTTGCCGTCGCCACTTTTCAGCTTCAACAAGGATCGACGATCACGTCAGAGCAACGCTTGAATGGGAGCTCACGGCGTCCCTAGTGGGAAACCAACTCAACGAACACATCAAGATGACTGTGTTCATGGACGGCCTTCGAGTGGGTCCCGCACGCACTCAGCTGTTCCGGGTGCAGTCAAACACCCTTGAAGAGGCGATTCAAGTGGCTCTTCAAGAAGAGTACAGCCATTGCCAGGCGCGTACTCCGGTCTCAGCGTGGCCTGGGAGTTCCTTGTGGACTCCCGGTCGAACGAGCCCCAACGGACCAGTTTTCATGGAACTTGGGGCCGCCCAACAGCGTGACATCCGCTGCTTCGGCTGCGGGAAGATGGGCTACTTCAAGCGCGACTGTCCCGCGGAAAGACTCCGCAGACGGGCTTTCCCCAAGCCCGTCCTCAAGGGTCGCTGGCAGAAGCCAGGATCCCGGAGACAGGGGAGCGCCGGAAACCAGTAGGGGCGGGGCGCCCTACTGGGGAAGAACTAAGTCTTCGTGATGGGTGCGCGGGTGGCGCGTACCACGGGGACTTAGCCCCTGAGAGTCTTCGCACTCTCGAATCGGCGAAGAGCAGCGGCGGGTTGCTCGTTACACGGATGGGTACGGGGATACGATCATCCCTTTAGAATCTTGATCGATTCTGGGGCGTCGAAGAATTTCGCACGCCGCCAGACAGTTGCTCATAGTAGCAACAAGTTGTCCGATGCTTTGAAAGAAAGCAAGGGCAACGGGACGGTGTCAGTGCGACTGGCCGACGGGAAGGTCGTCACTGTCCCCAATGTCCAAGTGGATCTGGCCGTCAAGTTTGAAGACTTTGACAGCCTCGAACAGTTCACTGTTCTCGATATGGATCCATATGATATGATCCTGGGCAGGTTCTGGTTTGAGAAGCACGAGCCCTGGATCGACTGGCGAGGCAAGGCAATCGGTGCCAGCCGCCCTGCGCAGTCCGACAGAGCATTGGTGAGTCATGTTCCCACCTCTGTCAGGACCCGGGGCGCCCGCAAGGGCTGCCAGGGTACTAAAGCATTCGGCAGATGCTTGGGAGTCGTCGACGTATATGACGGCTCCGAGGATGCTTTGATGGTGGCAGCGCCCAGAAGAGGCGCTGACCAAGTGGGTAACTTAGGTCCACAGGCGGGTAACTTAGTTCCGCAGACAGCTGCAGCTGTCACGAACACTGAGAACAGCGTGTTCAGAGTGGGTAACAGAGTTCCACTCACGGTCGCTTAGACCTTAACTGAAGAGGAAGACGTCGGATACGCTTCCTGTGTGGGTAACAAAGTTCCACACGCGTCGTCCAAACCTTAACTGAAGAGGAAGGCGTTGAACACGCTTCCTGTGTGGGTACCATAGTACCACACGAGGCCACGAGTGCCTCGGATGTCGTAGCGCCGACATCCCTAGACGTGGGCAGCAAAGCTCCACGTCACGGTCGCCGTCGTCAACGACGCCGCCGCCGCCTCAAGTCGGACCCGAACTTCGTTCAGATCGACGTCGCTTCAAGCGACTCGGAGTCCAGGGCCCGGGATCCTCCGACAAGGCCGGTGGAAGCGTGTTATCACATTTTTGATTGCGAGACCGGTTTACTCGTCAAGGCATCTGGTGTCCACTTGAAACCATTGCCAGAGGTTGCAGAAATACTGAACCACGCGGAAATTACAATCGAGTCTTTTCTGGCCAACCTCAATGCTGGAAAGGTTGCCGAGACGGTGCTCATGAGACCTGAGACCACTCGGGAGGAGCTGAACTCCTCCTCTGTCTTGGACGAGAACACCCTGGAAGACCTAAACAAGCAGCGTCCGACGCGCTTGGGTTCTGAGATCCTTAAGAACCCCAAGGATCCGGTGTATCCTTTGGTGACGGAGTATGCGGACGTGATGAACAAACACCCACCGATCCAACTCCCACCGGATCGAGGCGTACGGCATGAGATTGATCTCGGCACAAAGTACTGTGTCACGAGGCAATGGCCTCTTCCGCGCGAACAGTGCGAGGTCATTGATGCCTTCTTCGAAAGCAAAGGCAGGCATGATGCGGTAGTCGAAATCCCCGCACTTGACGCCAACTTTCTGTGTTCGGAAGCCGAACGGAAAAGGGCGTCTAGTCCACGCTTATAACAAGGTGAACAACGCGACGGTGCCGGCCCAAACACCAAGCCCACGAAAGGATGTGTTGTTAAACAGCATGGCCGGAAGCGTACTGTACAGTGCGCTGGATTTGGTAGATGGATACTACCAGATCCTGATGCGAGAGAGTGACATCCCGCTCACCGCGGTAAGCACTCCAGTCGTCAAGCTTTGGGAGGGGGTCGTCATGCCGCAGGGCTTGTATAACGCCCCGGCGACGTTCAATCGCCTAATGACGCAACGGTTTCGCCCTTTGCGTACCTTCGTACAGACGTACTTCGACGACATATTCGTCCATAGCCGTGCCGAGGGAGACAAGACGGCCATGGAGGTGCACCTAGGACACCTCCGTCGAGTTTTAGACGTAATGCGAGCGAACAAGCTCTGCGCTAACATCGACAAGTGCGTTTTCGCGTCACCAGAGATTAAAGTTCTCGGTTGCTTCGTAAGCAACGTGAGCGTTCGTGCTGACCCAGACAAGGTCAAGGCCATTGCAGCATGGCCAGCGCCCCGATCCCAGAAGGATCTCCGAAAAAGTGGTTGGGCCTGGTCAACTACCTTCACAAGTACAGTGCAGGGTACGCGGGCTTCGCTAAGCCCTTGTCGGGTCTCCTTCAGAAAGACGTCGCCTGGCGCTGGGAGCAAGAGCAGCAGGATGCTTTTGATAGCATCAAGGCCAGTCTCTAAGAGGCCCCTGTGCTGGCGACGAGACGAAGCCGTTTAGCGTCGTCTGCGATGCCTCCGATTACGCCATCGGGTGTGCATTGCTGCAGGCCGACACGGCTGGACACGAACGAGTCATCTCGTTCCGGTCCAGGCAGCTTAAAGCCGCCGAACGGAACTACCCTGTCCACGACAAGGAGCTCCTGGCAATGAAATATGTCCTTGTGAAGTTCCGTGTTCACCTTCTGGGCTCCCGGCCCTTCGTGATCTACACAGCCCACGCATCCTTGAGGACGGCGACTAACTCGCCTCACCTCTCCCAAAGGATGGCGAGGTGGCTGTCCTTCTTCGCGGAGTACAACTTACGCGTCGAATACAAGCCGGGCAAGCTCAACGTGCTTGCATGTGAGGTTGATCGAAATGGGGTCGTGTTGGAATGCACATTGAAGACCTGCTCATGGAGGTAAGAACTGATTTAGGACAAGCACTGGGACCAGGACAGACAGTTAACAAAGGTGGCTGTGTGCGACTGAAAGCCAATACCATATAATCTATTACTTTTCATTTTCCTTCATTGGTGAGCACCCAGGCCTACGAGTCCGCTGCTTTCTACAATACCAGCGAATCACCTTCACTCGCGCTCGCCCTTTCTCGGCGTCCTGACTATGCGTTGGCCCACATCACACGGGTGACAACGGATCTATATGATCGGATACGCATGGCGTATCGGACGATGAGGCTGTCGCGCCTATCGTCAAGTTCCTCATGGCAGGAACGAGCGCGAAGTCCGACTGGCTCTCGTCGCGACAGCGCTCACGGCCCCACCGATATGAGCTGAAGGATGGCCTCTTCTATTACCGGGTGGAGTTCAATGAGCCTCCACGGGTGGTCGTACCCAGCGACGAGGATCTGAAGCTCGATATCCTCGCGGAGGCGCACGACGCGTCCTTTAGCGGCCACTTGGGCCGCGAGAAGACCTTTCTGTCGGTTTCTCAGGCCTTCTGGTGGACCCACA